ACTAAGGGAGGGCCTGCTTCCAACATGCTGGCGATGCTCACACGGGCTTCGCGCTCTCCTGGGAGGAGAGACACGGGACGTTGGGGTGATTACGATTTTGCCACTGGCCTCACGGCCGTGAGAATGTAAGGAAACTTTCCAACAGGTCTTGCAGCCATAGAAACGGTGTTGTCCCATTTCAGCGTCAGGGGAAAGAGCAGAAAGCAGGAGAAGAAACGCAGACAGAGCCAGCCAGCCGACGGGGGGAGCGGTGGGGGCAGCCATCAAGCCCCCCGGGGTCCCCGACCTGGCCCTGGGAGGTCAGGGTCGGGGGACGGGGAACAAGCACAAACAGCTGCTGCGTGTGGCACCACGTGTGTTTAAAAAGACACGCCTGCCTCGGTGGGGGGGGGGGGGGGGGGCAGGGGAGAGGGAAAACGGTGATGGGCACTGAGGAGGCCACTTGTTGGGAGGAACCCTGGGTGTCGTACGCGATCGATGAATCACAGGAACCTACTCCCAAGCCGAGAGCACACCGTATGCGCTGTGCATCAGCCAACTTGACAATAACTTATGTTTAAAAAATCGAGATTAAAAACATTTGAGAAAAAGACACGCGTGCCTCTGCTGGGGTGTTGCAGCTCATTTCTTTTCGCTTTCCGCTGTGCTTTTGCATGTTTTCCGTGCTTATGCCTCAAGAACATACCAGATGTGCAATCAGATAACATTCAAGATTATTCTGTAAAGATGCTTCCAGGCTCACCAACGGGATGGGGCCGTAGTTGGTGTGCCATAGACTTATTGGATGCACTCAAGAATAGCGTACTTAAAAATTATCAGCTTCACAAAAATCTAGAAAAGAAATGCCATTTCTTGCTATGTTCAACCCATTTCTCCAGTAGCAAAGAAACGAAAAAGAGTATCTCTGAGAACCTGGTCCCATTCGCCTGGATGCCCTCGGTTTTGCCGCCATGAACACTGTCCTCTTGCTGGTCCACTTAGCAAATGGAAGAGTTAGAGGCTTTCCATCATTCTGAATGTGAAGCTATTTAACTTGTACCCAACAAATGGCGACAAAGAACGTGGTTGGGCTTTTGTTTGCTTGTGTTTGCTGCAAAGAGCCTTCTGTACACTTTCCCATTGGGGCTTGAGTGTGAGAATTCAAACTTTTGTTTTTCTAGGGTTCAAATTTTTCTAGAACAAGAACCTACGTTCCGCGTGATTTCTTCTGCGTGAAACACCGACTACATCAGCCATCCACTCTTTCGATGGTGTTCACATCGTAGGGATATTCTGAGGTTGCTGAAATTTTTTTACCCAAACCGTAAGCTGAGACGTGCGCTCAGGACCGTCACAGGACCCGGCCCCAGTGCTGTGACTTCCAACCTCGGAGACTTCACTTCCAGCTCGTTTTCGCCAACAATATCATTTTTCTCGGAAATGACCGCGGCTCCTTTCCCCTAAGGCTCCCCCTCCCCGGGCCAGGGGTGAAAACAAGAAAAGAAAATGAAATGTAGTGAACTTCTGAGAGTCTCTAAGACAGCCACGAAAGGGGCGCCGGGTGGCTCAGTCGGTTAAGCGTCCAACGCTTGATTTCAGCTCAGGTCATGATCTCGTGGCTCGTGGGTCCCCCAGCCCCACGTCGGGCTCTGCGCTGACGGCCCGGAGCCCGCTTGGGATTCTCTCTCTCTGCCCTTTCCCTCTCATGCTTGCTCTTTCTCTCTCTCGCTCAAAATAAACAGACAGACAGACAGCCACTGACGGGGGTTGGAAATCCCCCTGCTGTAAATGTATCATCACAGCCAACCCACCCAAGCCGTGGGTCCGTCTCCCCAGCTGCACGGTCCCTGCCCTGAGCCCCACCCCAGCCTTGCTGACTGTAATGTTTCTCCTCCTTCCCTGACCCCACTTCCCCCATCCCATTCCAGTTGTAAACCTATTATTTAATTTTCTCATGTGTTCCTTACAAGTCTGGGTGTATTCCTTGCCCTCCCCCCGCCTCGTTGGAATACGAGTCCTTAAAGTTAGGAAGCATTATTAGCATTATAAGTATTTGCATCCCCAGCACAAAAGGAACAACACTTAATATGTTCTAAATGTTTTTTTTTTTAAATAAATAAGTGTGTAGTAAAGTTTTTAACTTTGTCCAAAAAGAGGTGTGACCTTTGGCCCCAGCTGCTGGGAGGTCATCTCGGAGCCCTTGGAAGGTCATGCTTGGTGGAGGCAACTTTGCGCGGGGGCCTTGGGCCAGTGGGGTAGAAACACTGTGATGAGGGGTGGGGGCCTGGGGCCACACACGTCAGCTGGCCCCCCAGAGGGGCCGGAGCCTGAGATGGGCCACGCGGACAGCCGCGCCCGTGTCACGAATCTCAGTAAGGACCCTGGACGTCAAGGCTGGGGGGGGTCCCCTAGTTGACCATGCCCGGCGGGTGTTGGCACACGTGGGGACTGGGAAAGCCACCCCATCCTGACCGCGGGGAGAACAAAGGAAGCTTCATACCGACTCCTTTCCCGGAATCTGCCCCGGGCACCCTCGCCCTCCCTCAACGCATCCCAATCTGTGACCTTTCTCTGGAACAAAACAGAACAATGTCCACGGAGTTCTCGGGTCCTTCCAGAGATTTGTCAAAACCGGGGTGGTCTTGGAGACCCCTGACTTAAAGTTGGGGTCTGACAGGAGGTGGTCTCGTGGGGACCGCCCTGTCGCTCCAAACCCCACCGCTGGCTAACTCCGCAGCAAGCGTTGGGAAAGTCTGATTCAGAGTGCTCACGCAGGCTTTACGAAGTCTGCCACCTGGTGAGACAAAAAGGACACAAAAGAGGAAAACCAGAGAGGAAAACTCGCATTAAGTATGTGTGTGGGTTTCAAGCCGTGATTCAGTTTTCATTTAAATTTAGGAACAGGTGCGTGAATAAAGCATTCATCACAAAAGCGGGTGAGAACAGAGAAGCTTCCTGAGCAGGAGGAGCGTTGAAGAAAGAATAGTGGTTGAAGAAAGAGTTCCTGAGGTTAGTGCGATTTCAAGAGACAAGACCCCTAAGGGAGAAGCTCAGATATCATAACTTGAAAAGCCAGGAAGAAAAGAACAATTCAGTTTTTTCGAGATAAGGAAGATGTATGTATACTGAGAGGAAGAAGCAAAAGTTTAAATTCGGTTATTTTTAGTTCCTGTATCTAAAAAGGAAAATGGGGAATTATTAATGTTTGTGTTACCTATTGAGCTAGACTATCTCTGATTTAGCAAGTTGGGGGTCGAAGCTGAAATCTGCAATTAAGGGGTGGCTTTTAGCGTCTGTCAAAGCTTTCAGTGTGTGGAGAGAAACACATTCAAGTAGCTTCCATCCCCGAAGACTTAGCCGCCGGCTTTCCTGGGCGTCGTCGTGTGCCGATGGCATCGTAGAGGGGAGGCACGTGGCCTGTGGGCACCACTGCCCCGGAACGTGTTGGATCACACCCTCCCGTGCTCCCGAGGAGCCACTCCCAGTGAGAAGGCATCGCTGTGGCCGTGCCAGTTCTGACTGTGGGGGGGACTCTCCAAATGCACCTGCTTGGGAAACACGCGGGCGAACCTGCATGAAGCAGAGGTGGGGGACGCGTGGGCCGGTGGGCCGGCCGGAAAGGAAAACTCTGAGACACTGAAAGCAGCGCCCGACACCTCACAAACAGGCCGCCAATCTCAGCGATGATCATCACGGAGATGTTTCCAGAGGTTTGCAGAAGCCAAGGCATCGGGGCAGCCTGGAACGGATGTTTGGTGCAGGAGCGGAGCGCTGGTTGGGAGCAAAAGGAGTTGTGTTGAAAGTCAGCGTCACGTACAGGTGAGCAAGACAAGCGCAGGTGGGTCCAGCGGGCGAGACGCCCCGGGTGCGAAGTGCGCTGCCTGTAATGGCGTCTCAGACACTCGTCACGACCCTGCAAGTAGGGGCTGTCACCGTCACTCCTCAGCGAAGGGGCCCCGTGTTGGTTTGCTTCCCCTGAGCCACACCGCTGCTGACCGGAGAAACCAGAGTTGGAACTGAATATATTCGACTCCAGAGCTCAAACCAGGCTAAACAAAAACAAGGTGAGTGAGGGTCGACGGTGGGAGGGTCAACAGTGTGCAGGCCCCCGCTGAATTAGGGTCGAGAATGGCCCAGAACAAGTGAAACGTGGTCCACAATGGGGAGGGAGAATTGGACTCATGCGACAGTTGTGGATCGACGCCCGCTTTGCGCAGACACTCTTTTATCGCTGGCACACAGTGCCTGTCCCCGGGCTCATGCCCCTGACATTCTGGGGGGAATCTGTGCGTCTTGACCAGCCATCAGTGTTATGCGGTTATCAGTGGAGGCCCATGGGCCCTGATCCAGATAGAGTGGGAGGGGAGGGGGGCCCCTCGGCAGAAAATCAAATCCGGCAAAGAAAGGGGACAAGCATCAGGGGCCAGCCGTGAAGTGGCCGGGCCTCCGCAGAGCCTCCTCTGTGACGGCGTGACCCGATCGGACCGCCGGTGTGGGAAACGGAGCGCCGTGCAGAAGGGTCTCGGGAAATGCCCCTTCCGTGGAGGAGGAGAGCTTCCCGGCAAGGCTCCGTGACGCTCGCGGAGCCTGTGGTCGCCAGCGTCCCTCTGACGGCCGAGACGAGAAGCCTGACGGAGCGAGGGTCTTCCGGCTCCTTCCGCGGCCCCCGCCGACGGAGACCTGTGCTCGCCCAGCTCTTAAGGGCCTCGTGGCTTCAGTGGCGCGCAGATGACGTGAAGCGAAACACAGCTTCTCCTTTTTAGGGTGAAACCAAGCAGAACAAAACCAAAAGGGTGTTTTCCCCTCCCCTCCCCGGTCCCCTTTCCCCAGACACGTTTGAGTTTGCTTTTGACTTCATCCTGTTCAGTGTTTCTTCCTACTGCGAAAATGCAGAGCTCCCGTCCCCGCGCGGCAGGGAGAAGCCCGCGTCTCTCCCTCTGCAGGAAGGCGCGTCGCCCGCAGCCCGGGCTCTCGGCCCTTGGCCACCTCGCGGGGGACCCCGGCGGCGCAAGCGGGGGGACATGCCGGCCGCCAACTGCTCACGGCACAGCGACGCGGTGGAGGGGACCGTGGCCGTGCTGCTGGCGCTGGAGTGCGGGCTCGGCCCGCTGGGCAACGTGGTGGCCCTGTGGCCCTTCGCGTTGCGCCTCAAGGCGTGCAAGTCCGACGCCGTGTACCTGCTCAACCTGATGGCCGCCGACCTCCTGCTCGCCGTCTGCCTGCCCTTCCACGCCGCCTTCTACCTGCGCCACAAGACGTGGCCCCTGGGACACGCGTCCTGCCGGGGCCTCCTGTTCCTACAGGTGCTGAGCCGCGGGGCGGGCGTCGCCTTCCTCACAGCCGTGGCCGTGCGCTGCTACTTCCGAGTGGTCCACCCCCGGTTCAGGGTCAACCTGCTGTCCCCGCGGGCGGCCTGGGGGGGGTCTCGGGCTGCGTCTGGCTCCTGCTGCTCGGCCTCAGCCACCGGAGCCTGCTCGTGTCGGAGGCCGAGTGCCCCGGCCTGGAGCCCCGGGGGCAGCTCTCCCTCAGCGCCCCTCTGGCAAGAAGCTCTGTTCTCGGTGCAGTTCGTTCTCCCCTTCGGTCTCATCCTGTTCTGCAACGCCAGGATCGTCAGGACCCTCCAGGGGCGACTCCGAGACCCGGACCGGCAGCCCCAGCTGCAGAGGGCCCGGGCGCTGGTGACCGTGGTCGTCGTCCTCTTCGCAGCCTGCTTCCTGCCCAGCTTCCTGGCCCGGGTCCCGGTGGCCGTCTCCCAAGGGGCGGGCGGCTGCAGGGTCCTGGGAGCGATGGTGCACGTGTCCGACGTGAGCAACGGCCTCACGTACCTGCAGAGCGTGCTGAACCCAGCGGTGCACTGCTTCTCCAACCCCGCGTTCAGACGCTCCTACCGCAGGGTCTTCAACACCCTCAGAGGCCGAGGGAGGGAGGTCAAGGCCCCGGGTGACATCAACGACTCCTACTGCTGAGGCCGGCCGGCCACCCGCCCCCGCGGGCTGAGCCGTGACGACCGGCTCCTGGGGCTCCAGAGCGAGGAAATGCCCGGGCTGCACTACAAAGGTGGGGACCCCGACTCCGGCGCACCCGCAGCGAACGTCTCCTATCTGCGGCCTACCGTGTTTCCCGCGGCTATTGTGCGCGATCGGACCTCGGATCGGCGAGCCAGAGGCTCTTTGCGCCCACGACGACTCAGACGGCACGGCCGGCCTGGAAACACACAGCCGCGGGCGGCCCCCACCGGGGGAAGCCGCCCTCGTGGGTTCCCGCGCTGCCCGCTCTCGGTGAGTCGCCTGCTGTCTGTCTGCTTCAGCCCCCGAAACGCACCAAGTCTGCTTTCTTCCCACTTGCACGGACTCGTAACCGACTCGGGAAAGTGGGGATGCGGGGCTGCTCGGCCAGGCTCTGGGCGTGCACCTTCCCGTGCTCTGTGCTGGGCCCGGAAGGTTCTCCATTTCATAAAATTTTGCCTCGTCTGCACAGACGGTGCCTTATGTCCTGTGCTGGGCGCGGAAGGTTCTCCATTTCATAAAATTTTGCCTCGTCTGCACAGACGGTGCCTTATGTCCAAGATCACGCGGCTCCCTAGTTTATCCTAAGAAACACGTTCCTACTAAGTGAGTTGAAATTGCCTCTGGAACTTTCTTCTCAAGTCGGAATGTCTACATGCTTCTGAAATTCACTTTGCTTCCCTGCTCTGGGAAGTCACTGTACGTAATGCCTCGTGGGAGAAATGCACAGGGGGAGACCCCAAACCGCACGTGAAACCGCGTTCCCCACCCGACACTGGGGGGTGGAGGGGGTGCCACCCCAGCCCAGCCCTGGTGCTCCTGCAACGGCTGCATCGTCCCATGTCATACTTCTAAATTATGTCCCAAGCCTGGAGCTCATGATGGTGACAACCTGCTCCCTAACTGCCTTGTGTCACTCTCTGTCCAAAGCTGGTAGTGCAGTCCCCAAAACAGACTCCCCAGGATGCTTAGACACAGGATCGGCTTCGCAACCAGGCCCACACCTGTCACCCTGCCTGGAGCCGCACCTGCATTGCCCACGCAGACAGATGGCCCACGCTTGTCCCCGGGCCACCCCATGGCCTCTGTCAATCTTAGGGTGGACACGGGTGACGTCAGGCAGTAGAAACTGGCAGATTGTCCCGGGTCTGTCCCACCAGGGAGGCTCCTTCTCGGAACCGACTTTCACATGTGAGTGTGTTCGTCTCACCGTGCCCAGCTCGTGACGTATGTCAAGATCTGCCTCACAGAGTCCCCGGGGGGTCACCGTCTCTCAGCGATGCTCCCTACTTTCGTGGGTTTTGTGTCCTCGCCGGGGAGGGGATTTCAGGGGCCTGGAACGCAGGTGTGACCCGCTGTGCCCGGCTTCCTGCGCGGACAGTCCTACGTGCTGCTTTTTAAAAATCTAACACTTACCGTAAACATTTCCCGCGTCATGATAAGCTCTCCACAGGCAGTTCTTCACTCGATTACGCAATAATCCGACCAGATGTCTCTTCACCACGTCCCTGAGTCTGGACGCGATGATCTGCTGTCCTGTCACAGGCAAATCACCCTGTGACATCACGCAGCCCCCATAGACCTCACTGCAGCCATGCCCTTGGGGGCCCAAAGCCCCCAGCACGGCCATGTCCATCTCGGGCTCAGCCGGCCACACCTCCCACCAATCCCTGCTCATTGTTAGCCCGGCACGACGCCCGCGTGGCAGGTGGGGGACCCAGAAAACCCTGATGCCTCGGCCAACCCCAGTGTTCTGACTCAGTCTGTCTGCGGAGTCCCGGGCGCTGGTGTTTTTGAAGCCTCCTCGTTAATTCTGTCGACGCACAGCCAGAGCTGACGCCAGACACGGGGTTAGTGGCCGAGGTCAGGGCCTTTGGGTCAACATCCCGCTCTGTCACCTCCTAGCTTTGTGACCTGGGACATGCCACCCAACTGCCCTGTGAATAACAAACCCCGGGACCGTTGCACGGTTTAAGTAAAACAATACATAAAACGTTGAGCGCAGAGCCCGGCCCACGATCAGCACTCGGTAGGCGTCCCTTGGCTATTTGCAAGCCCTCGGTTTATGATCGTAACTTTGTTTACGTCCCCAGCCAGACTGGGTGTCCTTTAGGGACACAGCTTTTCACCTGTGCGCCCTCAACACAGAGCCCGGAGCGGGATGGCCGGTCTTGACCTGGACGCCTCCAGCAACATTTTGCCAGATCCAAGGTCTGTTACTGTGCGCCTTCTTTCCGGTAAATCCTCTCCAGATCCTCTGTGAGCATTCTGTCTGACTCGAGTTTTATTTTGCACATCTGCGAAAGGGGATAACTTCTCGGTACGCTGGAAGGTTCCGGATCCTGCCAACACCCACCTCTGGGGATGTTTCTCTGGCCTCCTGTCCTGTCACTCCCATCACAGAAGCCTCACAGGAGCTCTGCCCTCAGACGGTTGTCTCCTCCAAAGACATCCGAGGAGGAGCTGTCGTGTTCCAAACTCTCTTCTCTGGGTGAGGAAACAGGTCAGAGGGAACCGTGGGCAGGCAGAAGATGACGGGCCTCAGAACCACAACCACTTCGCTGCCGGCCGCAAGGTTTACTTTCTTTTCTCCTTTGACTCGCTTCTTCTAATATAGCAGGTGCACAGTCCCGTCTGTGAGTCTTGCAAATCTCAGCATTGTCTGAACTGTGGCAGATCCAGGAAGGACAGACGGGAGCCCGAATTTCAACTTGAGCGATGAATCTCTTTCCCCAGGCAGATGATGCTATCAGTGTTTTTAAAGTCAGCAAGTGTTGTCTTGTCTTTTTCCAAAATCCAGTTGGCCACTGACTCCTCCCCAGCTACATAGACGTCCTCCGGGTGCTGGGCCTCCTTCACGGAACGTTCTGATCTCTGTCCTCTAACTTCCTGCCTGCCCTTCCTGGTCTGACCCCTGAGACCTGCCTCTTCACAGAGCCCCCGACAACACGACACCTGCACCCCAACACATTCCCCACACCCCACAGGCCACCCTCCGGTGCTCACGCCCGCCTTCCCCTCTGCGTCACCTCCCTGAAGCTTGGGAAATGCCCACCTATCTTTGTGTCCCCAGCACTGTGCGCAAGGCCTGGCACACGGTGCCCTTGTGGAGTCAATAACAAATCGATGAACGAATTAACCTGATTTAAACTTTATCACGGGCTACAAAAAATGATTTTTCTAACACAGTTTGAAATTCTCAGGCAAGGATCCCAAGGCAAACTTACAATGTATCTTCCAGAATCTTCTAGGAAGACACTAATACAAATGAAAATATGACGTTTTTTGTATTTTTTGGAGAAAGATTTTCCTCTCTATTTTCGTGGTCACTTCTGCCAACAGCCAAGTCAATAATTTTGATTTGCTGAGGGGTCAGGAGAATGAACCGACCGCCTATCTGCCCGTGGGCTGGGTCGGGGGCTGAGAGGTGCGTCAGTGACTCTCAGAGGCTTCTGGAACATACTAGTGCTCGTGGAGTGCTCACGGAATCCCCAAACAATGTCCTCCTTGAAATGTCTCCTTTGAAATGGTGGTGAAATGTACATCACAGAAAATGTAGCATCTTAACCATTTTTAGCGCATAGCCCAGTGGCAGTGAGACAATCTCACTGCTGCGCTTGCGCCCACCATCCGTCTCCAGAACTTTCCATCTTCCCAGACTGAACTCTGCCCCCATCAGACAGCAGTCCCCACTCCCCCGCCCCTGGCGCCCACCCGCCTCCTAGAAATCCGCTCTCTGGGAATGGTGCCCCCGTAGAGACCTCGTGCGAGTGGACTTGGACGGCGTTCGTGGTTTTGTGTCTGGCCTGTTGACCTGGCACGATGCGCTCCTAGATGACCTCTCTTTGGCCTTTCACTGCTTACTTATATCTTGATTTTCCTCCTATCTGGTGGCGTCCCAGTAACTGGTCGTCTGGGAGAAAAGCAGGTTTGCTAGCCCCGCCGTGGCCAGCTCGCCAATTCCAGAATGTTCCACAGCTGAGTCGCCGGCACAGCACTGCTGTACCCCACTTCTGTTCCTTTGCGAGCTGGCATCAGTCCCCGAAAACCCCGCGGGTCTACCCTCCCCCGCTGTCACCATGCAGACAGGGAGACAGACAGAACCGAGATGCACGGACGAAGACCGCCCACGGAGACGCCCACGGAGAAATTCAAGAATAATACAAAGGCAGAGCTGGGGAAGGGAAGCCTCCCGTGTCCCGGGCCAGTGTCACCCTGTCCTCCCCGCCTGTTGTCAGCAGAGCTCTGTGTATGTCCCGTGGAAACTTCTGGAAACGTCCTGCCGTGGAAGCTCTTCGTAAAGGCTTCTGACACGCCTTTCGAAGGGACTGAAAGCCACAAGCTCCGGGGGAAGCCAGATGCTCTTGGGACAAAATGCCAGCTCCTCCTCTCGAGGGCTGTCACTTACCAGCCTGCCTCCTGATCGAGGTCCTTCTGATGGCACCCACGCCCTTTCCGTCCCCACGTGCTCAACGGCAAAGGGCTCCCAGGTCCAACCTGCCTGGAGACCCCGGATTCCACACCCGCCGGGGGTCAGCCCTCTCCCCCCTTCCGTGAGGAGTGATCGAAACAGCGGCACATCTGTGGTAGGGGATTCAGACGATTTAGAATGAAATACTATTAACAATATTAAATGAAAAGAAAACTTACAAATGCAGGAGGTATTAACGAAAACCGCCACAGGGCTTCCCTTTTACATATTTTATTCGAAAAGTGTACAATAACCTGGAACAATTTTTTTTTTTTTTAACGTTCTCATCAGGGATAGCAGCAGGGATATTGGACCCAAACTATATTCTTACCTTCTAAGTTAGACCCTCTGAACACGGCGCAGCAGGAATTGGGGAAAGAGGCTGGGTTCACGGTGTCATTAGCAGGACGGTTACCAATTTCCTTACGGTGCTTCCTTCCGTCCTTCCTTCCTTCGGTCCTTCCTTCCCGCCCCCCGGGGTCCTGGCCTCTCTCTCCCACCTGCTGGTGAGACACTGGGGCGGCATTTCCGAGCCGCACAGGGTCGGACCCCAGCTGCC